TTCGTGCCGTGCGTGTTCCACATGCGCGGATTCTCTATTGCAGTTTTTGTGTTTTATGGAATATCAGGCATAGGCATGCACAATGAGAATGTCATTCGGTTCAGGAAATTAAGAGGTCTTCTTGGAGCTTTACAGTTGCCATGGCTCGTGGTTGCAGATTGGAATTTCACTCCCAGTCTGTTGAAGAAGACTGGCTTCCTAGATAAAGTAGGAGGTGAGGTCATCTGCTCGGATGCGCCCTTCACGCGCTCGCCTGGTGGAGGGAGAACCCCTGCTCATCTTGATTTTGTCGTCGTCAGTCAATACGCACGGCCTTATGTCAGAAGTGCGCAGGCACGAGCAGATGTTCCCTGGAGGCCCCACATCGGCTTCAGTATCGAGCTGATTTCAGGGGGCCCCCAACTTCTCACCCGTTTCCTGGACCTCCCTTTCAAGCTGCCCTGGGTGAGCAGACCTGGGGCGGCCCCTACCCCTGGGCCCAAATCTAGTCTGGCCAAGGTCAAGAGGGCCGAGGAAAAGCAAGCCGCTAAGGGGGCTCGCAATGATCGTTTCAAGGTATGGTTTTCGAATGGGGTTGAGCTGGAGAGGGAGAGAGCGAGGGAAGGGCAGAGCCTCCTCGAGGATGCCGGCACACGTGTGGGAGGCGACACGGCTTCCGACGCCACCTGTGACGACCTTGAGGACCCATGGGCTGACTACTCGGAGGACGACCCCTGGGCCGCCGAGAACAGCTTCGCCCGGCCCAACTCCCCGCCAGCCGCCCCCGAGCTCTCTTTGTCTGCGCCCGTGCTTGCCTCGCAGTCGGAGCAGTCGAAGTCTGAGCCCCCTTCGGAAAAAAGATAATCCGGCCCCGCGTGAAGATGTAAGTAAGTCAAGTCTCGCAACCGCCCAGGGGTCGCCTTCCGAAGAGCCAGCGGTGGAAGCCAAGTGGCACCCCGAATATTCTATACCTGAGAGCGCGTGGGTTGAGCAAAGACGGGGCATTGGTTTCGTCCCAGCTGATTCTAACCCTCCTGCTGAGGCGGTCACTGCTTCCGCAGCCTTTTCTCTTGGCTCGAAATTTTCTGGCAGCGTCAGTTCGCTCTACAGCGGGTGGATTAAAGCTGTTGAATCCACGATTTACACGCACCATCGTCAGGTCTTGTCTGGGAGGTCGCGGAGTCAGGCCCCCAGTTTTCAGATAGCAGCTGCGCAGCACGCGCCACGAACACGCGTTGCTCATCTGCGTAACAAAATGAGCAAGTGGTGGACACGGGCCAGTACCACCGTGGGGACGGTTGCCAAACATCGACGTCGGCAGGGGGGAGAGAAGCAATTAGGTACGTTGTATATCTTTGCCGGCCGACTTCTGAGCGACGTCCCCGATCAGGTCCATCGTGTGTTACGGCATCAAGACAGGTTCAGTTGGCAACAGTGGTGCGAGTTTCTTTCTCAACTTGGGCAGATAAGTTTGGCCGAGCTCGACGTGGGGACTCAGCTAATTGAGAAAGTTGCGAAGAGGGGGCAACATCGCGCGTTGGCCCAATCCTTCTCGGAGTTCAGAGAGCGGGCAGAATCAGCCCCAGCCGTGGGGGTGCCCCATCGGAAACTTCGAGGGGGCCCAGTTGAGGCACGAGATGTTCTGCTCAAGGGGAGGACGGTGCTCCATCCCAACGATATCCTGGATCAGCAGCGTCAAGGGTGGGCTCGGGCCTGGGCCCCCAAGGAGATGGAAGCTGATGGCATGACCAAAGATATCCTCGCATTGGAGGAGTTGCGTTATGATATCCGGCGGCGAGTGCAGGATGAGACCCTTCCTCCACTCACAGTGCCCGACATCCGTCAGGCGCTCAAGCATACGAAGGCCAGCGGAACTATGGGAGTGGACCGAATATGTGTTCACGACCTGGATCGGCTTCCTGATGCTGCACTGGCTGAGATGTGCATCGTCCTATCAGTATGTGAGGAAGTGCAGAATTGGCCGCATCAAGTATTATTGACAATAGGAACACTTCTTCCGAAAAGATTGTCTGGTGATCGAGTCGTCGGGCTTTTATCTTACTTGGCAAGAGTTTGGTCGCAGTCCCGTGAGAGGTATATACGGCAATGGACAGATGAATGCTAAGCTCATTGGGACGCGGTCATCCGAGTAAATGCAGCAGTGCAAGCTGTTTATTCGATGTATCGACGAGGAGCTGGCAGGACGACTTCAGATGCATCAAGGGAATGGGTTGCTGGATATTGGCCAGTTCTACGACGCGATTGGGTGGCTGAGGCTCGGTCGAGCATCGCTGAGGCTGGACTTGCCAGCCGAGGTGCTGGGGCTGGAGATGCAGCATTGTATGGCACCGCGGTGTTTGAGGCAGGCAGGTTTTTATTCAGAAGCATTCTCACCGTGGCAGTCTATAGCCCAATGATTGCGAGCTGGGACAAGATTCGCTAAATGCACCACGTACCACATCATGCAGCGCTTGACGACGGTGCACAGAGGCATGACGCAGCGGATCTGGATCGACGACCT